CCGTAGGGCTTTTTCCTTACGTCTCCTTTCTTTTTTTTTTTATTTTTTTTTTACACGGCACGTTAAAGCTGGAAGGTGCTGCGCTCCCAGTATTTGCAGACGCAAGAAAAGGAAACGCAAGACCCCAGCGTGAAGCAGGTATGGCCAGCAAACAGCCCTCCCGGGCCCTGGCCTTCGGTTCGGCGCGCAGCAGTGCTGTATGGAGGAGGCTTTACAGCAAAAATGCGGCTGGGTTGGATGAGTTTCGTGCTTGAATATGCTTGTTTAAGTAACCGTGGCCTTCCCCAAGAAGCTGTGCTGTATGCTGGTTTTGAGTCATGCGTGCGGTCATGTGGAGAAGCCACGGTCGTGGAACTTTTGACACTGAGTACTACACGTTATTTGCTAGAAAATCAGCTTCTTGTTTGTGATCTATGTTAGGCCTGTTTTAAAGTGGGGATTGAAGTCCAACTGTATGGTCAAACCTGATATTTAATACTTCAATTACTTGAGCTACCTAAATGTTATTTTGCAACTTTAAATGATCGAGCTATGCTGTTCCAGGTTTGCATCTTTAAGATGTTTTCTTTATTTTCTAATTTAAGTAGATTTAAAAGAATTTTATCATCAGTTTTAACAAATCTGACTTGATGACTGTTTATGTACTTCTGCTGTTTCTGCTTGTGAAGAAAAACTGCACGCTGGCTTAAGATTGAAAGAGGAGGATGGGTATCAAACTAGTGATGACGGGCAGAATGTGTTTATTCAGCTGGTGCATTTGCAATATGAAATTTTGGCCTGTAGTAAATGATCTTATAATCTGATGAAATTATGGTATTATCATTGTTGTTATTATTTTCCTCTTTGCGCTTACCTGTGGTGTAGTAACTGTGCTTCAGATAAACGGACCCAAACCGACTGTCAGTGGTCATGCCAGCAGCCGAGGTACGGCAACATGATGTACCAAGGCCATTCACAAAGCCAGGGAATTCCTGCTCGGTTTCGCCCGTGTGAGATGTTTTTTGCCATAACTGTGCTGCTATGAAAAGTAAATGTGGGTACGCTGGTAACTACCACTGTGAGGAAAATAAGCAAAACAACACTAAGCATTAAGTTAAGGTTTTAGTTTTCATATCTGTTGTGGAACTGTATTTGAAGTTATGAGGGTGGCTGTTCTTGACTATGTTATTTTTTCTTCTTTAGTTGTTTTTTTGGTTTTTTTCTTCTCAGAAACAAGAATTGAACTTTGCTGCAAAAGACTGGTGTGATGAAGCAGATGACTGGGGAGTCTGTGATGGAGCAGAATCTCTTGCATGTGCCTCCCTTCAGCTGCTTGGCTTAAATGAAGCAACGAGCAGCTCCGTGTCTAGAGAGGTGGAGTGTGCGTCCCAATTCCAACAGCTTTGCTTGTCTGAAGCTACAGATGGGTCAGGTTGCCTGAATACACATCCTCCAGTCAGTGAGGGAATGGTAACAGCAACATTTGGTTCAGCTCCTGTGTTTCAGCCCTTTTACATTAGCGTTGTGGACGAGGAAGACTACGCTGGTTTCCTTGACACGGATCACGCAGATAAGCTGTTGAAGGAGTATCAGCAGAGAGAGGGTGTTGATTTGGAACAGTTGATGTCAGAAAGGTGAGAACAGGTCTGGATTTCATGCTGAAACTGAAGCGATTATGTAGTTCCCTGTATACTGATTGATAATCTAAACCTGACTCTCACTAAATCTGAATGTTTTTTGTTTGTAACTGGATCCTTGTCATGGTTTAACCCCAGTTGGCAACTAAGCGCCATGCAGTCACTCACTCACCCTCCCTGCCGCCCCCAGTGGGATGGGAGAGAGAATCGGGGGAAAAAAGAAGTTAAAACCATGGATCGAGATAAAGACAGTTTAATAGGACAGCAAAGGAAAGGAAAATAATGATCATATTCATGCTAAAAGCATATACAAAACAAGCGATGCACAATGCTACTGCTCACCACCCAGTGACTGATGCCTGTCCCATCCCCGAGCAGCGATTGCCATCCCCCAGCCAACTCCCCCCGGTTTATATACTGAGCACGATGTTGTATGGTATGCAATACCCCTTTGGCCGTCAATCGCTGAAAGCAACCGGTGTGGTTTAAACAATATCTTATGCTAAATGGCATGAGTTTATATTGTGACATTTGACTTCTTTTTCTTTAGAAGGCTACAGTTTTTCTTATATACCAATTGCATTTTTAAGAGTTTAATTATGTAGGGCTTTTGACTAGAGACTGGGGTGATGGTAGGACTCCTGAAGAGTTTGTAAAGGTTGTCTGAAAAACAACTTTTGAATGTAGCTACTGAAAATATTTTCAATATTAACTTAAGTGATTACAGTGAGCACTTACATCCGGACCATTTCTCTTTTGATTATATTAACATGTACAGTGACTTTTCCTGAATTGTAAACAACATTGAATTTTTTGGTAACTAAAGCTAGTGTCAATTGCAGAACCTGCATAGAACACTTTTTAGTAGCGATGTTCCTGTTGAATTTTGTTGACCTTTTATAGAACTGTAGAACTTTAATTACACTTAATTAAAAATGTAAACAGACAACATCATAATTTAAAAACTAGAAAAACAGAGACGTTACTAAAGAATTTTTTTTTTTTTTAAGGAATAAGCAGTATCTGGTGGATTTGAATCTCATGTAGTAGTTTGAAGCACTGTTAGTACTTGTAAGCCACCAGAAATCGAAGAACTAGAAGCAAAATGTTCACTTGCAACCTCTAACAAGAATTGCCTCTTAATTTAATACGCATTGGTTTTTTCAGTGTACTTAGTATACTTTAATGTGAATGTATAGTAACCATTGCTTATTTAAAGCATGCATATCGTACTGAAAACCTTATTGGAAATTTTGTTCCTTTTCTTGGGTTCCTGTAGTTTTGCAGGTGAAGGTGATAATGAAAAATATGAGAAGAGTGAAGTCAAAAGCAGGGACCACACATTCCATAAATTTATGAAAAGAATATCTGTGTGTCGTGAACAGATTCTAAGGTATGGTGATCATCTGGTTGTAACAGGGAGATACAGAGCATAGACGTGGATTGCTAGTACATCAAAACAAATAATTTAATTGGAAATAGATGTATATTTTTGTTTCTTAAAAAAAAAAAAAATGCTAAGAGGGCTGTTATTATGCCTGTGTGATCAGACTTAAGTCCCTGGTTGGGCTTTTTTATACAAAGTATAAGTAGATGTGAAGCAAAGCGGTATCAGAGACCCCAGATCTGGCTATGGAAGACTTTCTTCAACATAAGACCTGATGAGAACAGACCCAGATTGTCTTTGAAGACTCACTGAAATCCAGGCAGAGAGGTTTTCAAGAGACAGTTTTAAAGTGAAAGTATAATACACAGCAGTATGCTGTTGTGATAGGTTTCCAAGGCTGTCTGCTCCTCTGAAATTTTGTAACCTTATTGTAATTGCTTATATCTCAGTCTTTGAGATGTTACTGAAGTAAGAAATGACTCATTTTAAAGCCCGAGTTCTTCTGCAGCTTATTGTGATTGCCCCTTGGCACCCTGCAGTCTTCAGTTCTTGTAAGTCTGTTGCTTTTCCTAGAACAAAAGCAGATTTCACCTCTGAGCAGCTACTTTCCCAAAAGAGGAGTTAATTTTGAATGAAAATATAACAAAGAGTTCAAATCATAAATTATTCATAGTACCAGATAATACACATGGTTTTCATGGATCATACCAAGTGTTAGTTTTTAACTTCTTTGTTCCAGAGAGTCCAGTGCAGCCTATCTGGTCAAGCTGTCTCAGTGTAGTGACAGTACCTTTGTTTATTCAAGTTTCCAGAACCAGGTAGAGCTAACAGGTACCTTTTTGATGAGGAGGTAAAGTGTGAGAGGCTGGTTACACAGCTAAGAAATGTTAGAAACCTTCATTAATTATCTATCAAAGATGATCCAGAATGTAGTGCAGAATACAAGTAACATTTTCAGACAACTTTTTTTCACTGGATCTATCACTTTGCAGTATTATGCTCTTTGAATTTTCTGTTCTTCTAAAAGATCACCTCTGGTGATCCCTATGACTATTACTAGTTATAATTTTTATGTAGCCCTCCCTTTCCTCTTCTTGGGTATTACAAGCATGCATGTTAGACCCCCATTTCTCCTGGGCTGCCAGATCTCCGCTGAGCTTTCAACACAGCACAGAATCCCCTGCTTGACATTCAGTGGAAACCATCTTCAATCTTGGTTGCCCTTTAGTTGTGGAGCTATGAAAGCTCTTACAAATAAAAAATCAGTTCTGTGGCATAACTACAGTGTTTTTAAGACCTATTCTATGTTGAATATCTTAAACAGCCACAGGTTAGGATTCCATTTTTCAGGAAAGTATAGTTTGCTTAATTAAATGAGTCAGGTACAGCATATTTTGAAGGTCTCAACTGAAAGTGTCTCCTTTAAATCCAGCGCTTTCCTTAAGACATTCCAAGTGTTGATCTTCCAAGTATTTTCCTTCTCGATCTTTATTATTCTTTGTTTAATCTGAATCATTTGAAGCTTAGACAACGATTCTCTCATAAGAAGGTTTTTTACTTCAAGCAAGTTCAGAGATTTCGGAGAATCCTGAACACTGTTGTCAACACGTAAGTTTTCATATGAAATGTAAATACAAAAAAAAAATACTTTTTCTCCTTTCTTCTCCTCTTAGATACTCTTGGGGTGGCCAGCCTTTATTCATAACGTGTCCTCCAGCCAACATTAACAATGGTATTCCAGCCTGCAGTAACTGTGGAAGCAACAGAATTTTTGAATTTCAACTCATGCCAGCGCTGGTCAGCATGCTCCAGAGCGATTCAGGTGTTGCCCTTTGACTTAGCTGAATGAATGCTAGAAATAGTCACCTTTTTGGTAAAGTTCAGTGAACTGCAATTTGGATTGTGTCTTGCTAACCCCACGCAGTGATGTGCTTAACTACAGTGATCATCTTGCATAGAATCCACTCTTGTTTCCATTACAGCTTGCACTAAGCAAAAGATATAGCTCTTTTTTTTTTTCTTTTTTTTTTTTTTTTTTTCCCGGACACTCTATGATTGCAACTTCATTTGCTCACTAGTGAGCTTTAATAACAGCAATATAGATAATTCCATGACCTTGGGAGTAATTTGTCTTTATTGCATCTTAAATGAGGCCTTGGAAAATAATAAATACTGTCAGATAAGATTGCAGACACTTGAGCAGCTCTTTGAAAATTCTGAGTCAGCTTGCTTTAAAATCTTTAAAATTAGAAAATGCTACGTACGTAGGAGACAGAATGTGAAAAATATTTTCTGAATTGGGAAAGACTGAAGTATAGCAATAAGCAATAGCCCCTGATTATGTCATTTTTCATACCCTTACATTACATACCCTTATTGCTTTGTTTTTAGATCTGTCAGTGGAATTTGGAACTGTTCTAGTTTACACATGTGAGAGAAGCTGTTGGCCAACAAATCATCAAACCCCTCTTGAAGAATTTGTTTTTGTACAAGAAGACCCAGATCAGAGATTATTTAAATAAATTGTATTTCTCCGCATAGATGGAAAGTCTGTTGGTTTTGTTTTGTTTTTTTTTTTTTACTACAGGTGAAAGTGTGTAACTATGCAACAGAATTTTCCTCAGATGTGGTGAAAAATGAAATTCATTTGATGACATTGTACTTATTTCCAAGAATAACTGATGGAAGTATATATTAGCATGCCTCTAAAATGTGATGACAGGAAACTTACATACTTCGGTTACACATGGAAACTTAAGCATAGAGATTGTTTCATGATTCTAGTTACACTTAACATTTGGGGATGAAAGTAAAGGAGAAAGGTTGTCTTATTGCAGTTAGTTACAGCCAAACAGGATCTGATTTTTAGAAACTATTAGCAGTTAAGACCTTCATGTAAGCTTGATTTTTTAAAAAACAGATCTGCTTTGTTTTCACCACAGATTGGAAATTCAGTGGGCAGTGGCTGAGAGGGCCTTGCTGTCACTACAGTCTTCCTATGATGAAGCTGTTCTGGATGGTTTTCCAGTGAAGGATAAGTTATGTTTGCATGGCTAAATGAGCTCTGACAGTCACATTGCTCGGGATGGCGAAAAGGTGGAGGTTTTTGCTGGTGCTTTTGTTCTTGCAGGTACAGGATGATGGGGTAGGTCCAGCACCTGCCTCATTACCCCAGCCTGATGCTCACAGGCTGGTTGTGCTGCTTCAGTTAAAACAGTCGAAATTCTTCTGTGGTGTTCCCTGTTGGTTTAGGTTGAAGTGCAGTGTTTTAAGTAAGTGTCCTTAAAGCTTTTTGTACAGGCTTAAGGCTGCAGCATAAATTAATGCACTAAATGTGTGGGGTTTAAAAAAAACGGGGGGGGGACGGGGACTAAAATGATAGAACATGTTTGCAAAACTACATTTTTTAAGGAAGAATTGTAGCTTCCCATGTCAGCTTCTAGAGCCAAGTCAG